CGGGACGGGGGGTAATTATATTTTTCTTCTTTTTTCTAAAGGGGGGGGGGTAATTTTTGTGAACATGTGGTGAACATTACGTTGTTGTCCAAGACTATCAGAAACAGTCCTCTGAAATGTGAATATACATGATTACAGATAAAAATGCTGGTTTAAACAGAAACAAAAATTGATTGCTGCAACGATATCTCCGTAACGGATATTTGTTGTACTCTGTGTTCTGCTAGACCGCGGTCAGCTGGTCTAGCTGAACATGTCTTTGCTTGGTAGTCCTGAAGGGACAAGATTTCAGGTTCAAGTCACATCTCTTTTTAAATCCACAGATCCTTACGGTTTTGACATGTAAGCTTGAATCCATGAAAGGGATTGGATTCAGATTTCCGGAATAGATTTCTTTATTTTGAAGAAGAAAATTTAGAGCAAAAAAAAATGAAAATATATAATTTTTGTCTGAACTATCATGATGTAAGATTGTATTCTAATTATATTTCCTTTTTCTGTCTTTATAATCTTTGTTAGAGTGTGCTGATACAGATGCAGAGTCAGCAATTTTACTTTATCATTTTCTAGAATACTTCTAGTCAAGGTTTAATATATTAAATATTCAGAAACCACTGGAAATGCACAGCTAGTAAAGTTTTCCTTCATATGAAAAGCAAATATCAAAGTTTAATTATTTATTGATTAAAAACTCGTTATGAAAATATGGTTTAAGGTTTAAGGTGAACTTGTCTCACACTCCAACTTTCTAATTCATATATCTTATTATTCTGATCAGGTTGCAAAGATAAATATAATGGTGAAAGAATCAGAACATTTTATTATGAGTAGAGTAATAAGTTTCTTATTAAAATTTCCCTTCAAACCATATATTATGTGTTATCAAATTGTCAAAATTAATCATTGCTTTTCAGGCTTTAAGACATTTTAACAGAATAAACTTAAAATCGCCAAATTTTATTTCGTGACATACTCAATATCAGTAAAAACATAAAAAATTTCTATGTTAAATCTTATTAATGATTGAATCAGATTTGAGGTTGAAGAGATGTTGACAATAATCCTCTAGGTTGATATGGATGACAAAACGTCTCTGTACATAGACAATGATACAAGAGTTGCTCCGCTCAAAGAAACCCTACTGGAACCTTCCAACCTGGAGTCCCTTCCACTCTCTGAAGTGTGTTTTCTTCTTAACCTAAATGTTTTCATGTTTAAAATGATAAACATTTGTGATCGAAATCTTCAGAAATGGGAATATTTATCTTCATAATTTGGATATTTTCTCAAGGATTTTGCAACATTTAAGAAAAAAATGGCCTAACTTTTTTTTTGAAAAAAAAGGCTTTTTATACCTACTGTCCTCTGGGAGGTTCGGATACACACTGCATGTCGTTAAACATAATTAAGCTTGAATAAGTAGTAGTTTATTATAAACTCTAATCAAATTATATTCTTTGCATGAAAACGTCGCTTATTGTTTTGACTTAAATATATAAATAATGAATTAAATGTATATTAAACTTATGTAAACAATTAACTATAAAAAATGTACTCTCCTAGACTGTAAAAATCCCGAGATTCTGTACTATAAACTCTTTTGTATTGTATACACCTACACTTTACAGTACAACTATTCGGTTCCTTATCACAGATAAGCACTCTTTGGTACGGACACACCCTCACATGCCGTTTCCGCCCCCTGTTTACACTCCTCTGTAGGTCTACAATATGAGAATAAATTCTAAATAGGCAAATGCAACATGGTAGTAATCATTTTAGTTTTATATTTTTTATAAACAAAATATTTTGTCCTTTATCTATAAATATATATATATTATTTAGCTTGTCGGTTTAATGGTTTATATCCAATATAGATTTATGGTCGGTTGAAAATTAAAAAAGAAATTGTATGAAAAAGTTAAAAGATTCAGGAAATTCACCAATTTTTTTTTGTTACCCTGAGATGGAATTTAAAGAATTTGAGCCACGGTTTAAATTTGCCAAAACCCGGTTTAAATTAAGCGCCGGCTTAAATCTTGAAACATTTGATACAATTTTAAGTGGAACCAACNAGTGTCAGGAAAAATTTTCAAGTGCAATTAATGAAGTTAACATTGATTTACTGTCAAAAAAGTCGCATTTTTTCACAAAAAACGCGCGCGCGCACGCACTTTTGCTCAGATTCCTTCAAAACCAAAAAATGCACGTAATATACATAATTCTGAGTTTGCATGCAAAAAATCAGCCTCCTACGACAATTCTAAGTTATGTTTAAACACTGTTTAAATTTTCCGGAGAGTAATACGTTTTGTGGCCCCCCCCCTTTTGAAACATTTGATACAATTTTAAGTGGAACCAAACATATTTAAGCCGCGGCTTGAATTTAAACCGCCGCTCAAATTCTTTAAATTCGGCCACTGGATATTTTTGTTCTTTATTTAATATTTAAAATTGTAAAAATATTGTATTCGTTTAGTATGCAATGGACCACATTTGTGAAATATGACATTGTGAATTGTATTGAAGAAAACAAGAGCAATAATTTTAATGCTGATCAAGAACATATTTAAACTGATAAAATAGATTTATAAACATTTTGTCTCCAAATTAAATGTTTCATTATTTTGCGAAGCACATGGTTTTTATCTAATACTACTAGAACATGATTGGAGAAAAGAGAAAGGAGTTTTCTAATTATTCCGGGATTGATGATGATTGTTGATTGATTGATTGGGAATGATTAAGATAAATGATGTCAGATCTCATTCCAGATAAATCTTTAGTTTTTATCCAATCCTGAATATGTCAATACCCCCTCCCACCCCTCTTTTTCAGACCAATACACCCTCTACCTCCTAATAAAAACAAGAACAACTATCTCATACTATTCCATTCACTTCACTTATGTTTTATAAATCCCATTATCATTTTAGTTCAATAAATACTATATACATAGTTCTAATCCCTGGAAGATCAGCAAAAGGAGCCTTTTTTTAACAAAAATAGCTAGAGATGAACAAAATTAGCCCCTCTTTCATGTTAATGATCAAAAGTAGCCCTCACTTTCAAGGTAATGATTAAAAGTAGCCCCTCTTTCAAGGTAATGATCAAAAGTAGCCCCTCTTTCAAGGTAATGATCAAAAGTAGCCCCTCTTTCAAGGTAATGTTAAAAAGTAGCCCCTCTTTCAAGTTAATAATCAAAAGTAGCCCCTCTTTCAAGGTAATGATCAAGAGTAGCCCCTCTTTCAAGGTAATGATCAAGAGTAGCCCCTCTTTCAAGGTAATGATCAAAAGTAGCCCCTCTTTCAAGGTAATGATCAAGAGTAGCCCCTCTTTCAAGGAAATGATTAAAAGTAGCCCCTCTGTCAAGGTAATTATCAAAAGTAGCCCCTCTTTTAATGTAATGATCAAAAGAAGCCCCTTTTTCAATGTAATGATCAAAAGTAGCCCCTCTTTCAAGGTAATAATCAAAAGTAGCCCCTCTTTTAATGTAATGATCAAAAGAAGCCCCTTTTTAAATGTAATGATCAAAAGTAGCACTTGAAATTACGTTTACAGACCTATTAAATCGAAAGTATCATAGAGAAGGCTATATATTAGCAGATAAATAAAGAACAATGCAAGTGCTATAAAACGAATTGAACAGGAGATAAATAAAGCACAACGTCAGGGTTTTGAGATTTCTTGTGCACAGTTTTTGCCATTATATAGTAATAACTCAGATTTTATTGATTGCTATTGGTTTATTTCTGTGTATGAAGAAACTGAGTTTTTGCCACAATCTCAAATATTCTAATCTCTGTACATTTCCAACCTGATGTTTTAAACTTTTGATATTTCAAACTAAGATTATTTGTTCAATCAGAATTCATATTAATTAAAATATTCCAATTAAAGTTTAAGATAGGAACTCATTTTCTTTATTGATTACTTTTACAAGTTCCCCTGAGTTGTTATTTTGTATCGATTTCTCTTCATTTTTGTTAGGAAGGGAACAGAGGAACTAAATCAATAAATGTTGATAACAATAAAAATGTGAACCTTATCATGCTTTTAAAGGGAGTGACCGGCTATGTAAGGTAGTTGAACTGAGGACGCAGTGTTGTGAAAAACTTCTTTAGGTTTCATTTGAGACATATTAAACTTTTTAAAGATCTGTAAATTCTGAGTTTGGGCGCAAATTCAACGTTCAAAACTCCTGATTTGGGGGTGGATACTGGATACGCTTTCAGAATTAGTTTTTTTTTTAAATTATTAATTAACGACGACATAAAATGTAAAGATATTCTACAATAAACTGCAGACTTCATGTTTAGGAACATTTTGAGAAAATAAAAATTAATCTTATAATCGAAAATAAGTAATCTTGTTCAATTATTAGTTTCTATTATCTCATTATTCTAGTTTCTTGTTATTCACAAAGATGTTCGCAGATTTTCTATAACTATTATTGAAAAGACGACATTTACAGAATTTGAAGAAATCTGCGAATAAATACAAAGAAAATTAGAAATTCAATATAGTAATGAAAACGAAATAATCGATTTTAGCATTGATTTATTGACAAATTTCTTTTGTGAAATATGTTCCTAGCCATCTAATTAGATTACTGTATAATTTTTACTTTATTTTTCGTTGTCGTTATTTAATAATTTAAAAAAACTAATTCTGAAAGCGTATCCACCCCCAAATCAGGAGTTTGAACGTCGAATTTGCGCCCAAACTCAGGATTTACAGATCTTTAAAAAGTTTAATATGTCTCAAATGAATTCTAAAGAAGTTTTCCACAACACTGCGTCCTCAGTTCAACTACCTTGCATTGCCGGTCACTCCCTTTAAACAAAACAAAAAACGTTTTTATTTTAAAAATGACTTAGCTTCGCAAAATCAGTCATGTCTGTTAAAAAAATCATTATCTGTAATATTACCCAGCAAAATGTATGGAAGGAAAACCAAAAAAATGTACACATTCTACAGGAAAATGGGTCGAAAGTGAACATACATCCGGATCACAACAATCAACTTCAAACAAGCTCCAAATCTATTAAATTTTCCACACAAAATTAACATAATTTTTTGAATAGATAAATAAATAAACTAGACATCTCTGATATCGTTTAAGGATCAGGATAGAGAAAATATTTATATTTTTATAGCCCCGACTTCTCACCTTTTCTTAGATATTAGTTTTTGTTTTAGTATATCAAATACATTTTATCAGTTGTTAACAGAACTAATAAGCTGTTTTGGGAACTGATCACCTGTTCCAAAAAACTAATCAGCTGTTCCGAAAAACTGATTAGCTGTTGAAAAAGCTGATTATCTCTTTATTAAACTATTGTTTTACCAAATTAATCAAGCTGATAAGCTCTTTATTAAACTGTTATTAAAAAGATTTAAATATGAAATTAGAAAATAAATGATTAAAAAATTTTGATTTTTCCCAGAAATGAATCCAAACTCTAAATCTATTATTGAGAACAAGATTTTATCTGATTTAACGATAGGTTTTTTTTATTCGTTTATAGAATACTAATCTGATTTATGTCTAGTAAAAATGACGTAATAAAAGCTGATTAAAGATATAATTTTTTACAATTTTGCATTGAGAGAGAGGGGGGGGGGCTTGAAGAGGAGAGAAAGGTTTTGAGTGGAGAGGGGCGGGGGAGAAGAAAATTTAATTTTCTTGTAGCTCTCGCAGTTCTTCCTGTTTAATCTGTGACGTCACACAATACAAATATTTTTAAATCTCGAATTATCTTGTGGATTTAAGACTAGGAACATGGCAGGATTAATGACATCAGGGAAATGAGGTTATGTATAATTGTTTTCGAGGATTTATCTAGTTCTTGGAGTAGAACGGGTTTAGTGGTTTAAAAATGTCCTGTATCCGGGGGGTTTAAGAGCTGTGGCTGTGAGTAGACGAGGCTGGAAGTATGGAGACTGTAGAACCTCGGTTTACTGTGTATAATCCTCACCTGCCCCTCTAGCATCCCAGTAGAGCTGAGAACCCACAACAGTGTTTATATACGAGTTTTTTATACATATATAGACATTTATATATACTAGGCTGCCAGGGCGCTTCGCGCTTATCTTCGATTTTAAATTTTAATTGTTCATTTTTGTCTTCTTAAATTTTCAAACAATGACAAAACATTGTCGTGGAATTATTAATTTTTTGAAAAATTTTAAAGTTCTGAAAAATTTAAATTTTTTAATGCTGTTTTTTATTCTGACCAGCCATAAATTCCCTGGGGTCATGTGAGGTTTCACAAAAAATGTGGGCCCGATTGGTTCAGCCGTTTTGACGTTTATTTTTAGATTCAAACGGACAGACAGACAAGCAAAGTATATATGTAGATACATAGTTTATATGTATAAGGGTATATATATATATTCATAGTTTATATGGCCATAGACATAATCTATACTTTATTAAGCCATGGTCTAATGGTTTATAGATCCCTCTTCTTAACAGTTAATACACATTAAAATCACCCTCTATCCTTCCTTCCTGCGTTCGGCTTATTAAATTTGAATTTCATTCCGTTTTGGCCAGCAAATTAATTCTGTTAGGTCCAATTGTGATCGAAAGTAATAGCTTGCGACTTTCTGGGTTAAGGACCAAACTGTTCAATCTGATATCTCGGGACATATTTTTTTATTCTTTTTATTCCCATAAATCCCAAATGTTTGTTGCTCATTTGTTTTTCAAATCAACTTCAACCATTTATTTTTTTATTCGCATGAATCCATTTCCTTTTTATTATTTTAATTACTTCTCAATAAGTCCTTATTTCTCATAAATCCAATATTTTCTGGGATTAATCCGTCAGTTGTACTACCCCTGCTATCTGCTGATATATCTTAATTGTTTAATTACCATTAATTTGGCAGCTTACAATTTAATTAATTTCATTAACGTTTATTTTGTTATCTTCTACACCGTTGTACTTCCTTTTTTATTCTGTTTTTACAAAAATATTTTTTCTTTTTCCAATCCTATATTCTATGCTGTAGACTCTAGTGCTTAAATTCCTTTTCATGAGAAAATTGAATTCTTACTTAACTCTGACCATTGCCAACAAACCTCCCCTACCTTTCTATCCATCCATATATCTTATTCATCTTACCCTACCTTTCTATCCATCCATATATCTTATTCATCTTACCCTCTCCTTCTATCCGTCCATATATCTTATTCATCTTACCCTCCCCTTCTATCCATCCATATATCTTATTCATCTTACCCTCCCCTTCTATCCGTCCATATATCTTATTCATCTTACCCTCCCCTTCTATCCATCCATATATCCCCTCCCCTTCTATCCATCCATATACCTTATTCAACCTACCCTCCCCCCTTCTATCCATCCATATATCTTATTCTTCCTATCCATCCATATATCAACATATGTATATGATTTGATTTGATTTGATATAAATCTTATCCATCTATATCATACATATATGATAAAGATCCTTCCATCAATTTCTTTACTTTCACTTTTTTTCGTAACACTTATTTTATTCCAGGAAATATGAATTTCTGTCTAAAGGAATTGAGTTTTTGCCACAAACTCTGATTTTCCCATCCCTATATCTTTGGAACCCAATGTCGTAGACCTTATTTTTTTCTAACTAAGTATACTGTTAGATAAAATAATCTAAGTTTGAACTATCAAAGGTTTACTCCATCAGGTTCCAAAGATATAGGGATTTAAAAATTTAAGTTTGTGACAAAAACTCAATTCCTTTCAACATAAATGTTCAATTAAAAAAAAATAGGAGGGGGGGGGTGTACTATTTTATACATTCATCTTTTTTAAGTTGTATTTATATATTCACCTGTGAAATTAATAATAATAATACACTTATAATATCCTTAAATAGATTAGATAATAGAAATCATGCAACACCTTCAAGTCTCACCAAAAATGTTATATTTCTTTAATATTTCTTAATATTTTTTAATTATTAAATAAATTTTAAATAGTCCCCCCCCTTGTTTCCATTTAAATATAGATTAAGAAACAAAATTTTTTAATTTATATTTTTTTTAATTTGAACATAAAAAACTTTATCCTGACAGAATTTATGTTTGTTTAAATGAACTTTTGTAATTTAGACTTCCCGTTAAGGTTGTTTTTAAGGAATGTTAAAGTGTGCCCATTTATTTGTATTTTTATAAAAAAAACATATGTTCATTCATGCATGTGCAAATGTGCAATAAGATAAAAAATAATAATATAAAAATTTGCATCATCAAACTGACTTTTTATTTTTATTTTCATAACCAATAACTGTATTAGTAAGCCTCTTTTCTCCTATATTATTGCGAGCTAATGATATTATGTAATAATATGGTTTATAGTAATTCTTACATAAACACAGATATTATTTCCCCTCTAGGAATTGGAAAATATTGAATCAACAATACAAGAAATTTATTTAATGAATGTTGAATGGTTTTAGATTAAAAGAAATAGGTTATTATCAATGTCACTTTTTTAATCTAAAAAATTAAAAGCTTTTTTTTTAATGATTCTTATGGATTATTAAGATTCAAATAAATAAGACAAAATCTTTCTCCTAGTTGTTTTAAGCAAATAACAACAATTTTTCTATCAATAGTTGAAGTTTTTATTATATAATAAACTTACGATGGCACTAAAGAATAATATTTTTGTTTTTCTTTCATAATTAAAGACTTTCTTAGAAAATAATTTTATTAGTTAATATAATTGTTTTCTCGGAACTCTGGGTCTTACTTCCCTTTTTTGTATATTTATTTAATGTATTTGTGTACAGGAATTTATATTTGATTAGACATAGGGGTATTTATATATTTTTTCTATTTTTTCTAG